GATGACAGACAGAGTGTTGTCTCCCGATCTAGTGCTGAAGCTGAATACAGGTCAATGGCTAACGGAGTGGCTGAAATTCTATGGCTGAGATCACTACTTGAGGAGTTGGGTATTGAGTATGAGAAGCCCCTGATGCTGTATTGTGATAATCAAGCGACTATTAATATAGCACACAATCCGGTGCAGCACGACAGGACTAAACATATTGAAGTTGATCGACATTTTGTACGAGAGGTCTCATCACAAAAAGTGTGTCTCCCGTACATCACATCCAACATGCAGCTAGCAGATATCCTCACCAAAGTTGTACCAAGGAAGAAGCTAGAGGCGGATTTATCTGGTGGTCAATCGGTTATTTCAGTTGTTATTTATTTCAGTTTTATTTTGTTCTATTTGTTATGTAAATACTAAGGGTAGATCTGTCCTTTCCATGTAATGAGCTTAACCTATAAATACTAAATAGAAGTGGCGGCGGCAGAACATTCAGATTCTGTCCCTCCTTTCAACCCTTTTGTTCTACAGTTCTCTCTTCTCTTCTCTACATTTTCCTTCTCTTTCGAACCTGAAATCTATTAGGGTTCAAGGCTGATAGCAGTCTTGAACGTCTACATAATAAAAGAGTGGGGCAGCTGTTAGAGAAGGAACGCAAAGAAAACCTTTAATGACCAAACCCCTTTTTTCTTCTCCTTTTCTCTCTCCTCTTCTCTACTCTTCTCCTCTTGCTTCTCTTATCCTATTCCATCCTTTTTTCTCTCAGTTTTTCATTGTTTTTGTTTTTTTGTGGTCGATCACAACAAGTTACCAAACCTTTTGTATTTTGGTGAGTTGAACTGACATTCTATACACATTTTTGTGTGTGAATGTTTGATTAGTATAATTCTCTTGTGATCAATCTCAGTAATATTGATGATAATGATAGTTATCATCTCTAAGGAGTTGTGATGCAAAAATTTAAAGGCCTTAAGTTTTCTTGATTGGCAATGAAATTTTTTATTATTTCAGTATGGAAATGCATCATCTATTTGTTTGACTATTCATTGGGACCTGTCAAAAGCAAGTTAATCTCTACTGTGTAGCTTGAGGTCAATATTCCTTCTATTGCATTAAAAATTACATGCAAGACTAGTGGAGTTTTCTGATTGGAAATATTGTACCTTCTGTCTTTAATAGGTACACTGGCAAGAAACTCTTAGAGGCCAGGTTGCGGGAATACTGACTAGCCATAGGGTGCTAATTGTGTCGGCCGATCTTGATGTTTTGGCAACCAGTTCAACAAATTCTGATAAAGGACTCCCTTCAATATCCTCAAACATTGAAATATTTCTGACTAAATTTATTTCTTCTGTGTAGTCATATTTTGTCTGCATGATCAAGGTGTCATGTCATAGTTTAAATGCTTAACTTATCTGTACTTTAGATCCCTTTTATGGGTTGGTCCCACACTTCTTTTTTCTACTGCAACTGCAGTTAGTGCCCTTGGATGGGATAGCAAAGTCCGGACCATTCTTTCAACTAGTATGCCCTATTCAGGTAAATTTTCTTCTCCATTCTCCCTTCACCATTATTCTATAGTTGATTGGGTCCTTTTTGAATTTTGGGGTTTTGCAGCCTGGTATTTTCTAGGCACACATGTATTGTAAGTTGAGATGCTCTGTTTACCTCTTTCTTTTCCCTTTTTTCTTCTGGATTTTGAAGGTAAACTTGTTCCATGGATGCAGTTATGGTTGGTGCTTTGAATGATAGACTATTGCTTGCAAATCCAACAGACATTAATCCTAGACAAAAGAAAGGGGTTGAGATAAGGAGCTGTCTTTTTGGCCTTCTTGAACCTCTTCTTATTGGTTTTGCTACAATGCAGAAAAGCTTTGAACAGAAGCTTGACTTATCAGAAATACTATACCAAATAACATCAAGGTTTTCTCCTCTTCTTACTTACAGAGACATTATAACTAACTATTTTACCATTTATAGCTTGTTTTTATAATTTTTTTTCACAATTTTGAGTTTCTTTCTGTTTAGGTTTCGTCTTTACTTCTTCCCTTTTGATTAAGTAGGATAGCTTCATTCTTTATAGTTAGAATATGTCTGCCTTATATTTTGTTTAGATTCTACTCATGACCTCTGGCATTTTTGTGTACTATCTAAATGAAGGTTTGATAGTTTGCGCATTACACCAAGATCTCTTGATATTCTTTCCAGTGGTTCTCCTGTTTGTGGAGATCTTGCTGTATCACTATCCCAAGCAGGACCACAATTTACTCAGGTCAGTAGCAAATATGAGGTATTCCCTTCATTCTTGAATACCTTTTCTTTTTAACTTTCCCCTTCTCCTGAATGTGTATAGATGCTGCGGTGCATATATGCAATCAAAGCCCTTCGTTTCTCTACAGCTTTGTCAGTTTTAAAGGACGACTTCTTGCGTTCAAGAGATTATCCACAATGTCCTACTACTTCTCATTTGTTTCATCAGTTTCAGCAATTGGGATATGCCTGTATCAAGTAAGCAAGAAAGCCAAAACTAAGGGGGGAAAGTCTGATCTCTTCGTCATATACAACTACAAAACCTAATAATGAAACTGGACTAGATATCTTGTTTTCTGCTACACATGTGAAGTTGATGTTGAAAGTGCATAGTTTATATGGTATATTGTTCTGTTTTTTTTTTTTTCTTTTTGCTATCCAGAGGATTCCTTACCCAATGGATGGTTGGGAGTGACCACAGAATTATCCCAAATTTCCTCCTTGAAAGGTTTTTTCCTAGATCCACTATCCTTTTGATAGATAACTGAAAAAGATTCCATTAATATACAAAAATTACAAAGATTACAAAACTAAGCTAGCAACATGTCAAGCCCCCGAAGCTTGTATAGGTGAAGGAGTTGTTGGCTAGGAGGTTTAGAGGTGGTTATAGAGCTTTCTAGCCAAGTAAGAGTCATTCTAGAGGCATCCGGGGCACTCTGGAAAGTTGTAGAGTCTTGTCTAAGGGTCAGGAGTGCTCTGGAGCAATCTAGGGCAGTCTAGAGGTGTCTAGAAGGAGAGTTGTATGTTCTTGTATATTTTAGAGTTTTGTGAGAATGTTCTTGAGCATGAGATTTTCTTCTAGAAGTCTCCACTAAAGAGGTGAAACATGTGGTTGTCATGAGGAGGTACAAATGTGGTGGAGATTAGGAGGTGCCATCCAATGGCTGTGGCAAGGAGGTGATGAGTGGATGGTCAGGATTACACTCCCTAGAGCGGTTGTGAGACCTATAAGTAAGGGACTCCTCCCTCATTTGCACACAAGCTCAAACACTTACGTGCTCGAGAGTACATGGAATCATCTAAGTGTTGTAGCCTTTGTACTAAGTACATAGTGAATGCCATATCATTTTCCTAAGCCATTGTGTGTGTATGTTTCTTAGTGTGTGTGAATTGAGTGTGCTAAGAAATACACAAAGGATGTAGGACCAACTCATGGAGAAAAGGGGCTTTTGTGTAATTCTGATATATTTCGGTCTATTGCTTCTTTAAGCTAGTGGTTGTGTGAGATTAGGGTTTGAGGAAGAGTGTAGTAGAAATTACTGATTGCAGATTTAGATGAATTCCTTGTGAAGAGAAAGAAGAAGAGATGGAAGAGTTTCAGCAGTAGAGAAGAAAAGAGTAGTAATTCAACAAGAATTGAATTAGTTCTGGCCGCCAACCCCTCATTATAATTTATACTTAACTTAAAGAATGAGATATTACAAGAACACCCTTAGTAGGGTGGCTACTAAAGTAGCTGAACAGTCACAACTTAAAAACATAAACTAATGGGCCTAAAGCCCAACAACTTCCTAACTTAATAACTTAAAACAAGAATAAAAACAAATGGGCCCAATAACTAGAATCTGGCCCAACTCAACAAGTGTGATGCCTCAAGTTGTGGTTGTTTGTTGGTGGTGATTTTGTGAGTTGGAAAAGGGTCTTTGATGTCTCATGCTGTGGTTGTTTGTTGGTGGTGGTTATGTGACTTGGAAAAGGGGCTGCGATGCCTCAAGTTGTGGATGTTTGTAAGTTGGTAATGGTTTGTGGTATGGTGATAACTTTATTGGTGAACGTGTGAAGCTCCCTTGGTGTATCAATGAACTATTGCTTCAGAGGTCCCTTCAACATCTCAAGGTTTATGGTTGCTGCTGCTTCAACAGTAAACCTATTTCCATGAAGGTTGCTTCAACATCCTTACTTGCAAACTCAAGTTGGTTTTCCCACCTTGAGTTTGAGGGGACGTGTTGAGAGAAATATTGTATTTGGTTGTATTTGGGTATATTTGTAATAATAAATTAATGGGAACCTATATGTATTTATGGGAGAAAAAGGGGCTTTTGTGTAATTCTTATATATTTCGGTTTGTTGCTTATTTAAGCTAGTAGTTGTGTGAGATTAGGGTTTGAGTGAGAGAGAGAAAGAGTGAGTTATCTCTCTTATTCTCATAGTGGATATTTTTCCTCTCCTCCTATGGATGTAGGCTACCAAGCCGAACCACGTTAAATCCAAGGTTTAAAATTTCAATCATCAGGCGTATCGTATCGTATCATATCTTTTACAAACAGATACGGGATACGCATGGAAATCGTGTGTATTGTATTTTTTCATGCGTATCGGACCCGTATCGGGGGCGTATCGGGGCGTATCGGAGGTGTATTGAAGGTGTATTGGGGTGTATCGGTAACGTATCAACAAAAAAGATACGGCCAGAAACCAAAAAAAATGATGGGGAAAAGTAAGATTCTTTCACCCCCCAAATGACTCTAAAACTCCAAACCTTATTCCTAGAGTGCTTGATTTGCAAAATTTTGCAAGAAACAAGTGTGAATCATTATTTTTTTTTGAAGATTTTTCAAATTTTGAAAAAATATGGAAAAAGTAGGTAATTTTTTCAAGTTTTTATAATATCTTATGATTTCTTTTTTCTTGAATGTATAAATATATGTTAATCTACATTTCTTACATTCAAAATCACATTTTTTTGTGTTATCTGTAGATTTATGGAAATTTCATGAGATATTTGGGGAAAATATAAATTAACAAAAAATTTGAAAATATATTTTTTTCTTTGCGTATAAAGACCAATTATGTTTTAGATCTATAGATTTATCTATCATATCCATAGAGCAATTGAAATTTCTTCTTTAATAAATATTTTTTGAATATATTATGTAATGTTTATTTATTTTTTAATATTTTTTGAAAATAAATAATAAATAATTATTAAGTATATTTTCACTTAGAAGTTGTGTTAATGCATATTTTATGGTTGGATAAGAGAGTTGGTTTTTTCCCATCCCATTAAACATTAAAACTTAAGAATTATAAATTATAAATTATAGTCAAGTATAGGATTTTTAATGAAATTATAGTAGGAATCTACTGAATTAAAAAATATGAAAGAAAGTAGTTTCTTGAAGAGAGAAGAGAGAAGGAGAAGAAGAGAAGTTGAAAAGAAAAGAGAGCCAACAATCTGACTGAACAGTACAAAGACAACTATGCCCTTATAGGGTGGCAAAACATAAAACAGCATATATAATACTCAAAAACATAATAGAATTTGGACTCACATAACTACTGTGGTCCCTACCTCCGATCTAACAACTAACATAAAACATCTACTCAGAAAAACATCATAAAACTAATTAATCTTCAACACTCCCCCTCAAGTTGGGAGTAAATGTCACACATTCCCAACTTGCGTAGATCATGTTCAAACTTGTTCTTTGCCACCCCTTTAGTGAGAACATCAGCCAGCTGCAACTCTAAAGAGACATAAGGTAAACAAACTTCTCCAGTTGTTACCCTTTCTCTTATAAAGTGTCTATCAACTTCAATGTGTTTTGTCGTATCATGCTGAATTGGATTGTGTGCAATATTGATTGCAGCCTGATTGTCACAGTATAACATCATACGTTCCTCTACTTTCACCCCAATCTCACTCAAAAGAGATCTAACCCAAAGAAGTTCTGAGACTCCATGAGCCATGGATCTATACTCAGCCTTTGCACTTGACCTTGCCACAACTGCTTGCTTCTTACTCTTCTAGGAGATCAAGTTTCCACCTACAAAGGTACACACTCCTGATGTAGACCTCCTGTCATCTAAGCATCTTGCCCAATCTGTATCTGTATAGGATTCTAGCTTTAGATTCTCATGATTTGAGAAAAGAATGCCTCTACCAGGGTGCTATTTCAGATATGCAAGTATTCTCTCAATAGCTTCCTAATGTTGAACCCGAGGTGCATGCATGTACTGACTCACAACACTGACAGCATAAGAAATATCTAGTCATGTCATACACAAATATAGCAGTTGGCCCACCATTCTTTGATATCTCCCCACATCCTTTACCAATTCACCATCCACACCATTAATTATGTGATTTGGATCAATAGGAGTGTCTGCTGGTTTGGTTCCCAGTTTCCCAATCTCTCGCAGTAGGTCAAGTACATACTTTCTCTGTGAAATGAAGATCCCATGCTTGGATCTTGCAACTTCAATCCCTAGGAAATATTTGAGCTCACCAAGATCTTTGATCTCAAATTCTTGTTGCAATGATTTTTTGAGATCATCAATCTCCTCTAGATAATTTCTTGTCACCACTATATCATCCACATACACAATCAGAATTGACACCAGAGCATCTCTCCTCTTCACAAAGAGGGTGTGACCAGACTGTGTCTGTGTGTATCCAAAACCGATGAGTGCCCCTCTAAACCTGTCAAACCAACCCCTAGGTGACTGTTTTAGACCATACAGAGATTTTCTGAGTCTGCACACCTTTCCTTTACCAACATTTTCAAAAAAACCTGCTGGAATGTCCATATATACCTCCTCTTGTAAGTCACCATTGAGGAAAGCATTTTTGACATCAAGCTGGAACAAGGGCCATGAGTAGGTGGCTGCTAGAGATAAAAGGATATGAACTGAATTCATCTTATCTACTGGTGCAAAGGTTTCCAGATAATCAACACCATAGATCTGAATATACCCTTTTGCTACCAACCTTGCATTGTACCTCTCTATCTTGCCATTGGTTTTATATTTCACTGTGAATACCCATTAGCATCCGACTGTCTCCTTGTCTAGGGGGAGATCAACTATTTCCCAAGTTTGGTTTTTGACCAAAGCATCCATCTCATCCTGCATGGCTGTTTTCCACTCAGGTTTGGAGAGAGCCTCAGTAACATTCCTGGGTATAGACACAGAATCCAAGGAAGAAAGAAAAGCACGGTAGGCGGGTGATAAGGCACTATAGGAAAGATGGTGTGAAATGCAGTGGGATGTACACTTTCTCTTCCCCTTACGAAATGCAATGTGAAGATCAATGGTGTTAAGGACAAAAACATTATCATCAGAAAACATAACAAGCTCAGGCTCAAGAGGAATACCTGGAACTGTATCTGCCGAATCTAGAGTTTCAGAAGGACTGACAGAGAGTGGTGTGGGTTGAGGATGTGTGGAGTCAACCATCATCTGCCGGCGCTGATATT